GTGAATGTGAATAACACAAAATAGATAATCATGATACATTCTTTCATTTGTAAATAGTATAGTCAGGATCTACCACTTTCATACCTCTTTTCTTTCTTCCATCAAGAAGTAAAATCACACATCTTTCCAACATTTTTAAAATATCTAACCAAATATCAAGTGAATGATGGACTATACTTGGTCAGTATTTGATTGTATTAGAAGAATTGCCAAACTCACGTTATATCCATCACAAATGTAGTTGGTGATCTTCTTTTTGCTGTTGTTCTTGTTGTTGATGTTGTTTGTTGTTGAAGAAAACAAGGAGTGAAATTTTTTCGACGACATTTTTCAAAACAAACATGACATTCGAGGGGCTGACCGGAAATTGATTTTTAACTACTGGAGAATCTTTGGAGGACATAAAACAACACAATATAGATCATTTAATGAGACAGTAACATGCTCAGTAGTATACTTCGACCCCCAAGTAACCATATCCCACTCATGGGATAGTTCAGGCTATAATTGGGTCAGCTGTCATGTGATTTTGTCCAATTTTGAAATTCGCGGAACACCATTATCAACATAAACAGTGACAATTTCGCAGACTGAAAGCATTTCTTGGGATTTGACAAATACCAGGTTATTTATCGTGGTCTATTACCCTAATAAATCCTCTCGTGGAGACTCGTAGCCTCTTGTACCAATTTCCATTTGGGTTTCAAATCACAATTTTTGAAGAATTTTAAGAAGTACATAAAACATCATTACTATACCAATCGCTATTTCTGAATCCTCATGAGATGGACTTTATGGTTAAATGCATCCCATGAATCTATATGACATAGGAATTCTTGATATCGCTTTTTATAGTCCATAAAAACTTTAGTTTCCTGAGAGGCCTTTGCAACAGCGAAAATCATATAACTAGAAATATTAGTACTTATAAAACATGAGACTAAAAATCGATTAGTGTAGCGTTAAACTTCACCAGCTTCTCCATAGAAAGCACTTGACTCAAAACATCTTGACTCAGTATTGACTTCAAGATCGAACTTTTTGAAAAAATCGTGAATTTCAAATCTGAAAATTTTTTGTCAGCAATATTATTGATTTCTCAAGATCTACCAAGAAATCCTGAAACGTTACACCGTGGCGCTATGGTACCTTGGATGCGCTATCCATTGGTACTGCTACTCTTTTGAAATTCCGAAATTCATATTTTTGACCTATTGTTGTCGTCGGTGATTACCCCAGATTTTAGGTATCCTGGAATAGACAATTACACAAACCATCACAGAAATCCAGATTAGGGGCGCTTATATCTTCTCCTGTTTCTCTATAAATCCCACCAAATAACTAAGAATCTACTGTTGTTGAAATCTTGATATCCCGGGTTGAACTGCCTATAATGTTGACCTTAACTATGGACATCACCAAAACCACGATTTCCACCAAACTACCGAGAAATTAAAACCTGTTTCAGCTGGAGCCCATACAATTGTATCTTGGCTATCCATGGGTACCTTTACTTTAGCAAAATCGGAAATGCAATTTTTCACTATATTAATTTTGCTCGGTGAGACCCTGAAAATCACAAATCCTGGGATATCTTGATCAAATCTAAACATTATGAAGCCAAACTAAGTGCTATAGGATTAAAACATGTTACTTTAAAAGATCCATTAAATAACTAAGTGTTCTGGTTTTTTCAAGTTTTTCTACTCGGGGTTATAACCCACTAAAATACCACAAAATATACCAACTTCACCAATTTAAATGCAACCATTTCCAAACTTTGGTTTTCATCTTCTACAATCTCACTTCTTATACTATGCCCTTTACTTTCACCAAAATCGATCATATAAGAAAAAGTTAATTTTTGACACAAAATTCCAAATTCCTTAACTATGGGGACCAACTTTAACACGGAATATCTCCACAACCACAATGTTGCAGAACTAATCAAGTGACATTCTTATGAAATAAGGTAAGCTTAATAAGATGACAATACAAACTAGAATTGATATATCGTGGTTCCATGGGTATACCATGTTTAATCTCGGGATATAATCTCGGAATCCATATAACCCACCACCAACAACCCAATTAAAAAGATATAACCACCAAACCTTGCATGTAGCTTAACGAGCACTCAATTGACCATATCCATATTCAAACTTTACTAAATTCTTTATACTTTCTATAATATAACCATAATTGTGTCCCATACCAGACCCTATATCTTCAACCAACAATAACATCACAGCCAGATAACAAACCAGTAAATTAAAATTGCTCAGTCCACTTGAAATAAGCCATAGAATATCCCTATATTGTTATTTCATAGTTTCAAGAAATTTAATAATTACAGTATTACAATACTCTAAATATTCAAGTTATAAAAAAAAATATAAGGTCAATAAAAATCTAAACATTAAAAAAAATAATAAAAACATAAAAACACAAGATATCAATACAATAATTATATCCAGGGAAAGAGCCTTTTCTGGTGATTCTACAACAGTTTTTATCATTAACAAAACCCTTATATTGATGGAAATAAAGCACAACACTTGATCCCCAAAGCGTATCCTACCACCTATAAGCGTCACACCTGCAAGTGTACCACAACACATAAAGCGTATAACCACACGTCAATACCGTCACACCTACGGTAGTACCCTCCCATCTATACCGTGACACCTACATTAACAAAATCCACTAATAATAAGCTACATACATGTGATCCGTCACGTGAGCTGTCACCTGATAAGATATTTCACTATCGAATAACTCTATAATCTGCTACTACAGATTAAATATAAATACCTATAGTATCATCAGAATTCCCTAGAGTATCTACTTGCAAATTTATATAAGATTCGGGCTTGTTTTGAAGAATTTGATTTTTCACTATATTGACCAACTTTGATTACCATTATCTTAAGCAAATAAAGAGTTCTATGAAAAATGATTATGACCACATTAATCAGTGCGCTTTAAAGATGCTATATTCTTAGTTTCAAAACAATAGAAGCTAAAAATAAAATTTCATTTCCTTAGTTGAACAAAATTTTTGGGCCCCCATAGTAAACAAAAATACATATAGTCCAAGAATTAGAATTGATATCGACTTCAAAGTTTCCATTATAACTAAACTCAAGTCTGCCCCAGTAGATCGAAAAGATAGTTTTAAATTCAAATCAGTTTTGAGAGTTCTATATAGCATTTTCTATATTTTAAGCATTATAAGTAATTTGAAATATTTCCATAACCAGAAGCACTTTAACCCAAGTTAGAAATTCTATTATATAAGTGAGGCCCAGTAATCGAATTACACTTTGTTTCATGAATTAATTGTGCTTGAGACAAAAAGTATCCCTTGATAAAATACCGACATTTTTGACAAATTCAAACAACAACCATAATTTTTTGAAAACTAAAGCAATTAATGAAACACTTATAACTATGAGATTCGCCATGCTCAGTTGATTGATAGATGTAGTTAGGCTTTGATCAGACATTCAAAAATATCATAAATGTTGAAATCCTTGTACCTAGTATAAACGTACCTGCTACAACCATTGATTATCCAACCAATAGTAATTTAATAACCAATACTAAATGCTCATCATAATACAACACCACTGTTTCTACAAGATCCTTCAGCAATAGAAGATACATTTATTTTTAGTACATTATATCTACATTTTCCCGAGTGGCATCTCCAAACTGTATAAGCACCAAAATTTCACCACAAACAAATACCATAACCCTTAGAAACAAAATCTCTTGTAGATTTTTAACCAGCGACACAACCTCCATGTATAGCAGCTTCTCCAGCTATAAAAACAATATATATATCCCTGTTTCTGAAATCCAAAAATGATTAGGACCTTATACCTAGTTGAAACGATTGAACAACCAAATAACATCCATAATAACAATATCCCTTAATAAAATATGATGTGATTGGTTCTAGTGATCTAACTTTAGTCATTGAAATATATAATCACTTTAAATTGAAGTCTATTTTCTAACCATCATACCATATGCACATCTCAGAACCATTACCACTCATGAATTCATACGGTGATATCTTCAGATCTCTTATGT